ATATTCACCGTGAGTTATTAAAAGTTCTCTTATTCATCACTCATTCAATTGCTCTAGAACTCTAGGTCTCGGTGTCACTCTCGATCTCTTGATTTTTTGCTCTTGGTGTAAAATGAACACATTTGTGGAGTCGTTTAAATATGTTGGATTTTAAATATATTGGATTTTAAACTATCATACAATTTTTTTTCATCGATAGGCTGAATTGGAACCATAACTCTTATTTATTCAAATTGTATTAATATGTAAAAACCAAGTGTAACTTATATCATCGTTAAATCTTCTCTAATAAAACCAATGAAACTTCAAAATCGTTAAAATTCATGGCTCTCGTCGATTGCACGGATACACAACTAGTATTATATATAATGGAGAGAGAGAGAGAGAGAGAGATAGTGCGGGTCATTTTTTAAGACCTCCCCATTAGTATAAACGCTATAAATCAATTCCAATTATTCATTTAGTCTAATAAATATTTAATTCAATAAATATCTCGAGTGTATTCTAGTATAAAACATTGATCATAATAAATAAAGTATGATTAATCTGATATAAATATTCAATATTATAATAAATAAACTTTCATCATTTTCATAAAATCTCTTAATTAATTGGTTTGTGAGGTTTGTATTAATTAATGGTTGAGTTTGTAAAAGAAACCATCTCTACATATATATATATATATATATATATATATATATATATATACATACACACACACACACATATGTAGGGGAGGTTTACTTTGCAAACTAAGTTATCTATACAAACCATGCAAACCCCATTCAATCGATCATAATTTTTCATTTTTTTTTTGTAAATGAGAGGTTAATTAGTCATTTTTATTGTGGAAGGTGTTAAGTATGGACATTATTATCTTTATTATATTAATTTTAGAGAAATAAATGAAACAATTTCATTAAAACAAAAAAAACAACCATATATGAAATAACTTCATCTAAAAGTGTAATATATAAAAAAATTTCATGAAAAAAGTTAATTTAAATTAAACAATGAAATCGATGGGTAAAGATGTTTTGCACGATTTATACAAATATGGGTGGTTTGCATTTGATTACTCTCATATATATATATATATATATATATTAGTTGTATACCCGCGCAATGCGGCGGGAGCCATGAAATTTAACGATTTTGAAGTTTCACTGGTTTTATAAGATAAGATTTAACGATGATATATGTTACACTTGGTCTATATATATTAATACAATTTGAATAAATAAGAGTTATGGTTCCAATTACAGACTATCAATGAAAAAAATTGTATGACAGTTTAAAATCCAATATATTTAAAATCCAACATATTTAAACGACTCCACAAATGTGTTCGATTTACACCAAGAGCAAAAAACCAAGAAACTTGAGTTTTAAGATAAACACTCAAAACCAATAAAGAAAACTACAAATTTGACAGATCATAAGCCATGAAAAGATAAAAAAAGATGGGTTTTAGAAGAAAATTTCAACTGTTTACACTCTTTCTTGTCCAGAAACTCAAATTAAGGTTGAATTAATACATGTATATATATATATATATTTCAAAAAAATCCAAGATAATATTATACAGTGCTATTTGGACAGGCTAACCCCAAAATATATAGTATATATATATAAATAAATAACTATAAAAGTATAAATCTTAAATATTAAAAATATTTTTTCACAATATATATAATATATAATAATATAATTAAGTTAAAAACTATTCAATATTGGACTCATTTCGAATGTATTAACGAGACGATTATAATGGTGTAACTTGTTAAAATAAAAATATATTTTTTTAACATGTTTTAATTGATATACGATTATGTATGTTAATTTGATAAAAGTTTAAAATGAAACATTTAAAAGTAAAGAACGTAAAGTAAATTAATTAACTAATTATAGAGGCATAAAGTGTAAATTTAAAATTATAATTTGAAAAAAATCGGTTGTGAGAGGGTGAGTGTATGTGAGGAGGGGGTGAAAAAGTTAGTATAAAGAGTATCTTGATCATTTAGTATTTTAAGACTTAAAAACTTTTATTAAATTTGTTTAATAAATAGTATTGATATATATTATTTATCCATGTGTTCTTTTTTGTAAATTCAAGTTACATGCATTTACAACTTCTTAATCATTTACATTTGAACTCCACATAACTAATTTATTGATCAACAAGTGATAAAAACGTTCAAAGGTGTTGAATCTAGTAATACAATTTTATAGTGAGGAATAGTATTAAATTTGCATTTTTGTTTATAAAAAAATTTCATATACTGTTACATTATATCGAATTATATATATATATATATATATTGTTATATATATAGAGAGAGAGGTGAGCTATTATGCAACCTTTTATATTCATACAATCAATACAACTCAATCTCAACCGTCCATTTAATTTAATGAATATGTGATTTCATAAAAGTTTTGATTGTTTTCTAATATGAAGTATTGATCATAATTAATAAGTTATAGTCATCTTCCATAAATGAACTCTTATCATATTATAAATATCTCAATTGATTGAGTTGCATTGGTTGTACAAATATGATGAGTTGCATTTGAAACGTACTCTCTCTCTATATATATATATAGGGGAACGTTTAAATAAAAACCAATCAATTTGTAAAAACCGTGAAAACTTTATTCAACCAATCATAATTTTTTATTTTGTTCATTCTTTTGTAATTATGAGAGGTTGATTAACCATTTTTATTGTGGAGGGTGTTAATCATGAATATTATCAACTTCATTATTTTAATTTTAGAAAAATACATGAAACTGTTTCATTAAAATTTCATTAAGTAGTATATGAAACAATTTCATAACCATATATGAAATAACTTCATCAAAAAAATATTATATGAAACAATTTCATAAGATTAAACAATTTCATGAAAAAATTTCATAAGATTACGACGGATGAGAGTAGTTTTTACGATTTTTACTAATTGGAGTGGTTTTCATTTGATCGCTCATATATATATATATATATATATATATATATATATATATGAGCGATCAAATACAAACCGCTCCATTTTGTACAAACCCTACAAACCAATCAAATACATCTATTTTCATAATCAAACTCCGTTATTAAAAGAAGTTATTTTTGTAAAGTAAAAAAATAAAATTATTATTATTTTATCCAAGAAAGGGCAAAACTGGAAAAAAAAAATTAAACGTTTCAACTCATTGAAATATATTTTCCCCGTATTCAATTCCCTTTCCTTGCATTAATCCCGTTCAATCAAAAATAAATAATGAAACACTTTGAAAACTGAATTAAAAATTTTGAAAACTGAATAATATGATTTCATTAGTGAAATTTATTTCATGAATGAAAAAATTTGAAAACTGAATAACACAATTTTATTAGTGAAATTGGTTTCATGGTTCCTAATCAAAATGAAGTTTGATTTATTAATGAAACTAGATATGGTTCAGTCAGTGAAACATTTTTTTAAAAACTGAATAGCATGATTTCATTAGTGAAATTGGTTTCATGAATGAAACATTTTGAAAACTGGATGACATGATTTTATTAGTGAAATTGGTTTCATGTTTTCTAACCAAGATGAAATTGTTTCATAGTATCTAACCAAAATGAAATTGAGTTTATTAATGAAATAAATATGATTCAGTCAATGTAACATTTTGAAAATTGAACAATATGATTTCATTAATGAAACTAATTTCATGGTTCTTAACCAAAATGAAATTAGTTTCATGAATGAAACATTTTAAAAACTGGATAACATGATTTCATTAATGAAATTTGTAAGGATCAATTTATTCATAAATTTTACTAATGAAACAAAATAATATACTCAAAATCTGAAAAAATATCACAACTATAGGAGGCTAGCTTTTTGTCGCCTTAACAAGGTTTTTTAGAACAATTTGAATATAGAACATTGTATTAACTATCTTATAAGACATTTTTGAAAACTATACTATGCACACATCTTATTATATAAGATATGTGCTTTTATAAAACATTTACCAAATAATGTCCTATAACATAACTAATATATAAAAAAAACTTATTTTGACACCCAAAACGTCTTTTAAAATGATTACAACACCTTTATATAGAAGATTTTATTGTTTGGTCATAAAAACTAAGTCTTATAAAATAATCTATTAAGATATTTATATATTTTTTACATCTCATAAACCAAGTCTATTGTCTTTATATGAAACAATATTAATTATGCCTTTCATATATAATGTTTTATATGTAAAACCACATGAAAACTGATCCACATAGTTTGTAGCATTTTTTGTTGTTTAAATTTTAGTTGTCTCATATATATAGTGAAAAGTTTAAATAAAAAAGTTAAATATTGTAAGAAGGAAAGATTAATAGAAAGTTAATATGTGAATCCATTTAAAAGATCTGAAAAAATCTATTCAAGATGCATGTGTAAACCATCGCTAGTAATTATTCATATAGATTTACATATGCATCTTCAAATGGATTTTTATAATGATTCATATACAAACCTTCCTATTTTTACCTTTTTCAGGATATTTAATGTTTTTATTTGAACATTCCGGTATGTATATGTGTATATGTATATATATATATATATATATATATATATATAGGGCTGGATTCACGTGAGACCAAAGGTTTTTCGTGAGACCCGTAAGACCAATTTACGTTCATTGATTAACTTTATAAGCTAATGATCTAATGGTCTAAAATTGAACGGTGACAATTTTGTGATTATTGAGAAGGTTCGTGGCGTTTGTGAATGTTCAAATCTGACGATTGATCTAATCCAAGGGATGAGAATTGGTCTTACGGGTCTCACGAAAAAACCTTGGTCTCATATGATCCCAAATATATATATATATATATATATATATGAAAATATAATAACATAAACATACGCACATAGCTTTAATTTTTAAAGTGGAGTTAGTAACCTCATGATGGTATTTCTAATTATTATATGTTTTACTAAAAAATGCAGCCCAAAAACAGTGTTCATAATGGGAGGTGGTGAAGGGTCAGCTGCTAGGGAAGCACTTAAGCACGAGTCAATTGAAAAAGTTATCATGTGTGATATCGATCAGGTTTGTCAGCTCTTCATCATATATATATATATATATATATATATATATATATATATTTATAGAATTTCACTTACATCATCATAAACATGCTTCGTGTTTATGAAATATACACAAAACAATGAAATGCATAAGATCAATCAACATCATATCAATTATTTTTATACAAAAAAGTTTAATACAAGTCGTGTACTTTATTGCAGGCAGTGGTCGCTTTCTGCCGTGAACATCTAACGGCAAATAAAGAAGCCTTCATTAACAAAAAGCTTGAACTCATCATCAACGATGCAAAGTAAGCGTTTCAAAACAGTTCTGGACCAGTTTGATCCAAACCCTAATTCTTATCTCATGTGTTTTTATGAAACGTAGATCTGTCAAAAAAATTTGGATTAACGAAATGTGAATAATTCAGAACAAAAATGCTCGTTCTAATGACCCAAGGGTAAGGTTCAATCGCAAATATAATTAGATTGTGAATTAGAGGGACAAATCTGGTGTGTTGATAAAAATTAAGAAAAAAACTAATCAAGCCCTAAACCACAAAGTGGTTAATCAAAGGTTGATTAGGGGGCAAAATGTAGTTAATTTCAATCTTCAATTTCACAAGTCTAACTATTTTATTTTTTATTTTTTAACTAAAAACTCTATCCCCTTTATTTATTAAATTAAACCATCTTAAAAATAACTAATATTTAATCAAAAAATAACATTAAAGAACGAACATTGCATTCTCTTTGATATACATGACATCCGATTTGATATAGTTTTTTTAACTACTTTTACATGAAATGGTATATATGTGTAATATTGATTATAAATATTCATGTATATTTATTATGAAGAGATGTTGTATCAACATAAACATACATGAATATTTATAATCAATATATATATATATATATATATATATTCGCTTGTACATTCATAATAAATATACATATTATTCATCATGAATATTTTATGTATATAAAACAATTTTTTAGAATTCATAATATTTATTATGATTATACATATTTATTATAATATTCATTATAAATATGCATATTATTGATTTAGAATATATATGTACGTTCATATGTATACAACATTTTTATTATTATTCATATAAGTATGATATTCATCATAAATTTTAATTTGATTTATTGGATTCTGGATTTGTCTCGATGGTTTTCGATCCATCTCGATAGGCAGATCAGTCTCAAAATGGATGTCATACTGAAAATAAATAACCGTTGGTTTTTTATTTTATTTGTTTGATTGAAATATTAATTATTTTAAAATAATTTAGTTTAAAATTTAGGGGTAAAAAGTTTAATTAAAGATTAAAAAAAAGTCAAATATTTGAACTGTGGATTGAAGATTGAAATAAATTCTCTCTCTTTTTTTTATACTATAATCAGCTTAATTAATTATTTATTAAAAAAATTATGTAATGCAACTTGTTAGATTAAATAGAGATGGAGGGTCGAATTTGTCCCTTATTTGACAAACTAAATGAGGTTTGCAATTGATTCTCTCTCTCTCTCTCTATATATATATATAATATTGGAAAGTTCAAATAAGACGAAAGATAAATACTATGAAAATGTATGAATACAAAAAATTATTTGTGAATCATTGAAAAAATTCATTTAAACCTAGTATCGTCGGATCACATATCCTCTTCACACAGATTTCATCAATAAATTCAATATTTCACATATGAACCTTGCCACAGCCTTCTGTTCTTACCTTTACAATATTTTCCATTCATTCTAATTTACACACACACATGTGTGTGGTGTTAGGGGGGCTTAGGTTCAATCTAGAAGACATTCAATTTGCGGAAGGTGAAGATTTTTAAGTCACATGATACAAACACGTTGCTTTGACCGTCCATAGAATGGACGATCTTTCCTGCAATCTTAGTTGCATTGACCAAGTCGTCCACGTCCATTTTAAACGTGTTCTATCACATTTGATTTTGGAATTTCTTGACTTTTTACAAATTAACTGACTTTTCATATGTTGACTCGGAACTTTTAACCTCGATTCTTATGATTTGTATTGGTAAAGGATTGAACTAGAAGAGAGGAAGGAGAAATTTGACATAATAGTTGGAGACTTGGCTGATCCTGTTGAAGGAGGGCCTTGCTATCAACTCTACACAAAGTCTTTTTATCAGGAGATCGTCAAACCTAAGCTTAATCCCGATGGAATCTTTGTTACTCAGGTTCTTGTTTCTTGCTGAATCTTATCCAAAATTAAATACCCAAAAAAGGGGGCATTATTTAAGATTTATTTTGTCCAAGAGAGCATATATATATATATAGAGAGAGAGAGAGAGAGACACTAGTAGCCAATGCACAAACAAAGTTTTGATTAATTTTGCCTAATAGTGTTGTCGATATAACAAAATGAAATTAGTTTTACGGTTCCTAACCAAAATGAAATTTATTTTCATAAATGAAACATTTTGAAAACTGAATAACATGATTTTATTAATGAAATTTGTAAGAAAATCAATTTACTTATGAATTTTACAGATGAAACAAAACAATATACTAAAAATATGGAAAATATCACAATTATAATATTAATAAATCTGGAAAGATTTGTAAATTTGAAAAAAAAATACCAATTTCTTTTGTTATTATGAAAATGAAGTAAAGAAATTCCTAAGAAAAAGATTATTATAAATAAGCTCTGAAATTGATTGATTATTTTTATTTAATAAAAGAATAAAAAAAATATTAATGTTAATAAGTATCTATTAAAAATTTACCGGTTTCAAGATTATTATAAAAACAGATTGATTGATCATTTCCTAAAAAATCTCAAATCTATGTAATCTTCCCGATTTAGACACAATTAGAATATTAATACAATTATTGTAAAATCAAAGAACAATCATACCCTTATGGATTAAAAATAAATAAAATTAAATGGAATTATGTTATCGGTTGATGCTAGTTTGTATAAATGGGAGCGATTTGTATTTGATCGCTCATCTCTTTCTGTATCTATATATCTCTCTCTCTCTATCTCTCTCCATATACACACACATATATATATATATATATATATATATATTTATATGAAAGATTAAAATAATGATTTTACTTTTTATATCCTATTAATTAGATTAAACAAATGCATAAAAAGAAGTTGGTAGGACTCTCTATTACGTAGTAATAACTTATTTTAACGGACGGTTTTTGTCCTAAATATATATGGTCCCTTTTTAAGTACTTTATCATAAAGACCAATTTGTTTTAGTATATATGCATACCATCTTCAAGTCACTTTGCATCATAGTTATAGAGCCTTATATATATATGGTTGTATTTGGTTAACATGCAGGCTGGACCTGCAGGGGTGTTCACTCATCAAGAGGTGTTCACATCTATTTACAACACCATCAAACAAGTCTTCAAATGTATGCGCTAATTAAAACCATAACGCAAGACATCAATTAAATGCTTTAATTATAATAAAATTGAGTTTATAAGACGTTTAAAGTGTTCAAGTATCATGATAAAGTGTTTAATTTATAAGACTTTAATTTATAGGATCAAAATATAAATCTTACGTCCTAAAAAGCTTATTACAACCCCAAAGAGCGTCATAAAGCTTATTGTAATAAATTTAGATATGACATTTTTATTCTTTGATCCTATAAAGCACCTTATTATGACAATTAAACACTCAAAGACGTCCCTATAAACCGATTTTGATGATGCATTTATTTTCAAAAGCAACCAGATCTTAATTAACTATCTCAATTGTTCATGATATGCCGGTGCAGATGTGGTCGTGTACACGAGTCATGTGCCTTCTTTTGCTGATGAATGGGGATGGGTTATGGTTTGTTTTCCGTTTTGACTTCTTCCCTTTTTGTCTTCTTTTTCCTTAAGAAAGATCGATCGACCCAAGTGAAATGTGTATTTTATTGGTGCAGGCATCCGACAAGCCATTTTGTTTTGATGGAGAGAAACTAGATAAGAAAATACGTGAAACAATTAACGGGGAGTTGTTGTATTTAGATGGTGCTTCATTCTGCTCTGCAACCGTTCCTAACAAGATCGTTTCTTCCTCGTGAGTCATTAACCTATTTATAAATATTTTTTTTAGAAAAACTATACCAGGACTAATCCCGGTAAATTGTGACCATAAGAAATCGGCCTGATAAAATTAGTGGCCAGAATTGTTGTAAACGTCTGAAATCGGATCCTGGTAATAGTTTATTATACAAGTGTCCTAAATTTGTTGTTAAAACGCCTAAAAACGTCTTATAAAACTATTGTAACGCTTAATTTAAGATAAAACTCTTTATAGTTTGGTCCTATAAAAATAAGTTTTACTATATAATCTAATAAAATGCTTATACAATTTAGGCGTTCTATAAATCCAATTTTGTTTTAGTGTCCTTTAAGGCATTCTATTAGAACAAATCGAAGGAATTTCAACCGGTGACCTAAACTACACCTGTGGATTACTTATAAAGGTTTGTTTCATGGGTTAATTGAATTGGTTTGGTTTTCAGGTTGAAAAATGAAACTCATGTGTACACCGAGGACAATGCAAGGTTCATTCATGGCCAAGGAGTTGGGAAGAAGTGCAGTCATTAGGAGGGGTTTTTATATCGATCTGCCATGAATTGAAAAGAACAAATTAAAATAGATAAAACATCGTCGGTAGAATGATTTGGAGTTGGTGAGAGTTTCTAGCATATTGATATATTACAATTTACTGCAGGGGCGGACCTACTAAAGAGCTTGCGAGCGGATCCCGTATGTTCGCTTGCGAGCGGGGTCCCGTATGTTCGCTTGCTCACTTGATTATTGCAAGGGAAAAAAATTTGATCCATTTGATTTTGAGAATGCTCTAAAATATTTTAACACTTATTCAACAACAAAGATTTAAGCTCGCTGATGGTCATGGTGTGCTCAAATAAAGAGCTTGTTTTTAATAATTAAAATATGACTTGTTAACGTTAACGATGGAGTTTAAGTTCTCATTTCTTGTTAGCGTTTAATCAATCTATTGTTCTTTTAATTTTAGTTTGCAAAACATTTTATTTAGTAATAAAATTCTAAATGCAAAAATCAGAAATTTAGAGAAAAGATGAAGGATATCGTAGATCAAATTCTTAACATCAAGAAATTTTACCTACAAAAACCGAGCAAGTCCTTCAAAATCAACCAAAAATCCTATGGAGTTCGGTTAGAAATGCATCAAGCGACTTGGCGATTAAAATCCTGGATCTAAGCAACCAATTCTTCTTTTTAATTTTTCTTTCACCTTGGTTCTTGCATATTCATTCTAATTCCTAGCATGCATGTTTCTTCGAATAATATTCTGCAGTGAGAGGTATGACTATTATAACTATGATTCAGTAAAAATAGCGTAAACTTCATCTTTCGTCTCTTTGCTTTTTCTGGTTTTGATCCCTGGAATTTATTTAATACCAAATTTCCAATGTAATTTGTATTTTATGTTAACCCAGTTAAATAAAAGTGCATTTTAGTCTATTACCCAATTTTTTTTTATTTCTCTAATTATATTTTAGTAGAGGAAGGTTAAGGGAAAACTCTAAAAAAATGAAAAACTAGAAAACTTCTTATCAACCGTTAGATTAATTAAAAATACTGTTGTAATTATCCATTTAATCACATCCATAGATCGATTGACGGATTGTAAATGCATCTTTTATAACCACGGACTGACATTTTGAAATGATCAATGGTTTCTAGATTCATTTTGTTTCATGTGATTTACCCATCAAATTATGCAAGTAGGTTGATGTCAATTCTTTGTTTTGGTTTCTGGTTTTTGCTTTCAGTTTTTTATTGATCATATTCTTGTATGTGTGTGTTTCTTATTGTAAACATAAAACTTGTTAATAGCTATCGTTCATGACTTTGTCATTCAATTTCGGCCATGTTATATTATAATCTTATTTTTGTGTAAACTCATTGCTTATTTCCTTGTCTTCACATATTTGTGTAGATTTGTTCTTGATTGTTAGTATCAACTACATATCATCTAATTCTCTTTTCGTTGCTTTGGATCGTAGTTCGATTGATTAAGAATCCTTCAACAAAGAAAAAAACCATTTATATCAGGTATACATCTTATCAAGTTTTTCGTTTTTTGACAAACTGAAAATCTCTTTTACAAACTTAGCCTCATTGGCATTTATAAAGTTCTTTTACATATCGACTTCTATGTTTTTTCTGTCTTAAAATGGGTACACTTAAATTTCATACCTAGATATTTCATCTTTGCAAGCCATTTAGCAAAATCACATTTTGATAACTTCTTGCAAGTTAGAAGCAGTGTGAAGTATGGGGCCTCCTATGATGAGTTCTTTGATTTTTTTGTTATGTGTTTATATTTTCCTTGAAGTATGATTGTCGAGAGCTTGGCATTGTCCTCTTTATCCTCTATTTTTTTCTTCTTCTATTAATCTAATGGGTGTTTAGTTTTTTTTTGGCTTTGTTGATTCTTGCCATTTGTAACACCCCACCATTTATATTTATATTTGCATATAACAATGTATTTCATATATCAAGAAATAAATAGTACATCTTCGGTCCTAACAGTACAAGAAGTTATAATACAACATTTACAAAATTTACAACCCAAAAATTTCCACAATAACTGTAACACCCCATCCTACTAAACTTAAGATGAGACATGTCACAACTGAAAACGGATCAAAAGTCTACCTTTTACAGTACGGAGCTCTAATGAAACTCTAAAAAAAAATTACAACCATTATATTAATTACATAGCACTAACATATTCACATAATAACATAGCAAAAACACTATATTCAACCGCTCGTCTTTTAGAATCTTAAGCCATCTCGACCCTTTATCCTACCCCTAAGTTAGATCCTGAACCTGCCGAGGTAAAACAAAACAACACTCGACTGAGCAAAAAAATTGCCCAGTGAACAAATAACAGAAGAATATCAAATATGAATAAATAACTGAAAGGAAACATTACGATACAAGTGAAATCAATTTAAGTGTGAATCTCTAAAAATTGAAAGTTATATAATAAAAAAAATATTCAAGGTAAGAAGGGCATCTGTATCATTAGAATACGTTATTCCCGATGGATGATCAGTCCAATCAGGCGCCGTACTGGAAAGGAAGTGTCGGGCACTACACCATCACATTCCCCGGTAACCAAAGGTATTTGGTATTTGGCTATATCTAGTAACTAATATAATTGGTATTCGGCTCTATCCGGTATTCGGTTCATAGGATGCATCCAACATTGTCTATTTGGCTAGGCCGTAACCTTTATGAGAATGCCATGACTATTTTAGCCATCATCAGGCGTCTCAACACCCGTGCCTCGAGTATTGAGCATATTCAAAGTTAAGTCAATAAACTCAAACTCAAATAACGAAATCAAGAACCAAACATTTGATAATAAGTCTAATAAAGCCATTGAGGTTCCAATTTATATAAAATAGAATGAAAGATTTTTATGAATTATTTTGAAACCAAAGTGGTAGAAACTTGAATACACACTAGGATGCTAGTCAAAATCTCCAAATGTTCTTTCCTTGATCTTAACTTGGGTTTGATCAAGAATTATCACCATCTTAGAACATGCAACATGTTTTTAGGTGAAAATCTACAAACATTAAGATCCTAGTTCTTAGCAAGAACAAGTTTTAAAAATCAAAAAAAAAGGAGAAAACACAAAATACGTAAAAAAAAAAAATGAAAGCTACAACTATGTGAGATGAGTTTTAAAACTCTATGAAGATAGATGCTTACCTTCAAAACACCTTCTAAGCCATTAAACATAGTGAATATGGGCTGGATAATAGAGGAAGAATAGAGAGAAAATGAGAAGGGATTTGGGAGAGTTTTAGAGAGAGAGAGAGAGAGGTGAGAGGCTTTTGGGTTGGAAATGGAAGAAAGGGAGGGGTTGATGGCCAGCCAAAAAGGGAGAGTGGGGGAGAGAGAAGAGGAGTGTTGGGTAGTGTGTGAAATGATGAGAAATTTTAAAAAAATACAATTTTTTTTTTGCATTTTGATTTAAATAAACACTAGATGAAATAGTTTATATAGTTCCTATCAAAAGTTTTTTTTTTATCATACATATATACATATATATACGTACATACATATATATACATACATACATATATATACATACATACATATATATATATATATATATATATATATATAATTTCGATATATCATTTGAATTTGGCATTTTATAAATAAATTAAGCAATTCACTCTTCTAAGTGCAAAACTAGGCATAATTTCTAAATTTTCTAGTGGAATCATGACTTACCTTTTAATTTCTAGATTCAAAATGTGACGAGTCTATTCTTGCTATTATGAGATGCTTAAGTCTAGAACCGACCTGAATTTATTTTGTCGGATGTCACAGTCTCCCCCGGTTGGAAGAATTTCGTCCCGAAACTCAATGGTTACCTTTATTGACCCTATCTTGAGCAAAGAGGCGAGGATACTTGCGCCTCATGAAATCCTCACATTCCCAAGTATATTCGGGCCCGCGCCTTGATTTTCAGTGAACCTTTAGTATCATAATTCTAATTCGCTTTAGCTACTAAACTTCTCTGTCAGGGATCTCATTTGGTTCTTCTATGAAGTGCAGTCGATCATCAATCTGAACTTCTTCTAGGGGCATGATTAACGAGTCGTCAGCCAGGCATTTTCTTGAGATTTGACACATGGAATGTATCATGAATGGCGCTTAACTCCTAAGGTAGCTTGAGTTTGTATGCCACTGGACCAATTCTTTTGGTGATGACGAATGGTCTAATATTGTATGTTAGGACTGAAATCAGTATTAAATTGTATTCGTCTTGAAAGTTAAATATTGTCTATAATTGTAAAAGTCATTGTGTTTGACTTTTCTTAGGCAGGTTTGACTTTGACTTGTGTTTAGAGGTTTGACCCTATTAATAGGGTAATGTCTTTGTAAATCTTGTAAGAGAGCTCATTTGTAAAAATTGATGCGTAAAGAGAGTTTGACTAAGCTTTGAATGTTTGAATTTCTCTCTCAAAGTTCATATGAATGTTCTTGAAGATTTATCTTAATCTGCCATGATTATGGAGCTTGCTTGAAGATTAATCATTGAAGTGGGACACACAATTGGTATCAAAGCAGAAATGCAAGAAATCAGAAGAAGAAGAAATCAGATTTTGAAGAATTGTTGAAGATTATTTTATGAATTTTTTTTTCTTCTTCGTGTTCTTAATTTTTTTTGAGTTTGATTCGATTTTTTTTAAAAATCTCGTGTTTTTGTGTTTAAATCATGATCAAAATGCTCGGAATTGAATTGTGAATCTTTGTTATTCATAAACTTTTGTGATTTGATCATTGCATTTCAAGATTTAATCGGATTTTGTGTTTTTAAATTTTTTCGTGTTCTTAATTTTTTTTAGTTCCACTGTTTTTGATCCAATTTTTTTAATTTTTTTTTTCCTGTTTTTGTGTTTTTGATAGTTTTTGATCTGATTTTGATTTTTGGGTTGAACAAATTTGTGTTAAATCACTCGTTTTATCGCTCAGCCCATTTTTCAGGCCCATCCGGATTAGTTTATCGCCCAGCCCAATTCAGATTTAGACTTAGCCTGATTGTCTTTTATCTTCATCTCTCAAGAATTTTCTAAATAGGAATTCTTCCAAGTCTAAATCGCTGAAGACTTGAACGGACAAGGTGTAAATCGCAGAGGTATTGATCGAGCTAGACTTCAAGATTCATCGATTTAGCCACAGGTACCTCAAATTGATCGTATTCGGTTTAGTCTTGAGCGGATACATGAGCGATTTAAGTTTAGTCTTGAGCGGACTAGGTTTAAATCATACAACTCGTGACCGGATAAGTATCCGGATAGGTAAATCGATTGGTTCTGTGATTGTTTTGTGAGTGATTTAGCCGACTGTTTGAGCGATTTAGCTGTATGCGGTGAGCGATTTAGCCGACTGCTTGATCGGTTTAGCTGTCTGGTTGAGCGATTAATCCTATGCGGTGAGCCATTTACACTTGATCTATCTCTTCATTTGAGCGAATTCGGATAGTAGGAAATTCAGCTTGAGCGAATTCGTACAAAGAGTTTGGACTTAATTCGAATTTCACCAATACTACTAAAATCTTCTTGTGAACCAGTCGTCATTAGCCAGCTAGAGGAGATCTGCAAATTTCGACAACCCACAGTGCAGTGAGCGATATATTTTGAGCGATTTTAGGAATTTAAGTGAGCGATTTATTTAGCTAGGTGAGCGATTTAGACTGTATTATTGAGCAATCTTGACTTGGTTAGAACAGCTTGTCTGAGTTTCTTCAATATCGTACTTCACTGTGTTCAGCCCAAACCTTATGTCTGAATTTGAGATAAATCGTCCATAGAATTGAGTTGATTTGGTCTGATTCTTGCTATTTCATTAAGGATTTGAGCATTGCTTGAACAAATAGAGATATCAGTTGCTTGGTAGGTTTAATTGGTAAGTGAACGCTGGATTCAAGTTGTATTGACAAAATTCAAGCTGTTGTTGAGCTGCTCCTTCATCCTTCTCCTTTGGGAACATTGTGACAGATTCTTGGGCTGTCGAACAGCAAGCCTAAGTTCTTCTTCTGTTCCCTCACGATCATCTTACGCAGTAAAACCATTCAGGGTTATTGATTTATGCTAAGGCTATTGAAAGCTACTGAATTTTCAAGGAAGGAGTCTAAACCAGATTCAGGGTACCTGCACAGAAAATCCTGGTGCTGTTTCAGTTTCGACAAAGGAGACTGGTACTGTTTGAGTCAAATACAAGTTCATTGTGAAAAACAGCAGCTTATTCGAGTTGATAATTATCGGTTTTAATTTAGTTTTAACTATTTTGGCTTAAACTGTATTTTAACTGCTGTTTGTATAGCAGACTGCTAGCTTTGAGCAGACTTGAGATTTGAAGATTGTTGTTTTACCAGACCCATCTGCAGCTACACAGTGTCTAGCAAGGAAGATAGAAGTTCACGGTCCATAGCCAACTTATGGTGATCCAGATTTGTTGAATTCCTAGTTGACTGTTTTGTTGACTGTTTTAAGGCTAATGCGAAGCAAGGACGCACATTTAACAGATTGAATCAGTCAGAATGTTGCTGGAAGATTGAAGTTCAGAAGTTTGCTGTCATTCAGGACGAAGCACAATCAGAAGTTTGCTGACATTCAGGACAAAGAAGGAGACTGCTTAAAGCCTGTTTAGAGTGCTGTTGCTATTTGTTTGAAGGTGGATATTGGTGTGAAGACAGTTCATTGAAACAGGTTCAAGGATATCTACATCATATTGGATATGGTTTATCACTCACAGCAGCCTTATTGAATTACTGTTTGTATTGGTTGCTGGAAACAATAATTTGAAACAGTTGCCTGTTTTGAGTTTCATCTTCCAAGGGATTGTAAATCACTTGCTGATTAAACTGGGTTTGAGCTTTATCTTCAGCTGGTAGTTTCACACAAATATTAACTGTTTGAACTATTAACTGTCAGCATCTTGATCAGTTTAGTTTGCAGTCTTGAACTATTTTAAAACAGTCTGAGTGGTTTAGCTTGCTGTCATAACACAAGGGCTGTACATAGCTGTATTAATCATTTTGTTCTTGTATTTTCTTAGTTTTATTTTTGTTTAGATTTTAATTTTGGATCATTTTGTTTATCTGTTTTGGTTTTTGTGTTTTTAACTGGTTGAGAAAGTTTTGAACGATTTTCCGTTGCGTAAACTGTTTTTCATCAGTTTCAACTGTCTTTGACTGTTTTAAACTATTTTCAACAGTTTTGACTGTTTTACTGATTTTTTTACAGTTTTCGTCAATTTTCTGAATTCTCATCAGTTTTAGTGTGTTTTTGTTTGTATTTTGAGCTTAATTGTTTCTTATTTCTTTTACTGATTTCACTGCATAGATCCTATAACTGATCAATTTTTTTAAATGGCAGATATTCTAAAGGAGATGAGAGAGAAGATTGCTGAGCTGGAAAAGAGCATTGTGAACTATAAAGAGAAATATATAAATATGTATACTAAGAATAATGCTAATGAGGAAAGTATTAAAATTTTGAATCGGAAGCATAAAGAAATATTAGAAAGAGTTGAGAATGATTCCAAGTATCAGATTAATAAACTTAAAAAGTCCTTGGATGATGTCAGAATAGAATGTGACAAAGAGATAAAAACATGGAGTAAGTCTAATAAAGATTTGTTCAATAAACTCCAAAAAGTTTAAAATGAACTAAATGCTGAGAGGAACTCTCCAAGGAATAATACAGAGACAAAGGATTTAACTGAGAAGGTTCATAAATCTGAAAATGATCTGATTGAGCTAAGAAAGCTTTTGAATTTAGAGAAGAAAAGATTTTATGAAATAGAGAAAAGATTTTGTATTAAACGTGAATCTTATGAAAATAAGATTAATTCTCTTGAGCTGAATGCTAAATTTCTTTTAAATCAAATTTCAGATTTTGAACAACTTATCATCTTGGAACGATCCAAGGTTGATAAAGAGAAGAAAGAGTATGAAGAAGAATGTCAAAGAAAGAATTTGGAATTGTCGAACAACATTATTCAGAAAAGGAAAGATTTAGATGAAGAGAAGAAAGTGTTTATTCTTGAAAAGAAAAACACTGTCAAAAAAAATGGTGCAATTGCCAAAGAGCTTACAGAGAAAAAGAAATGGCTTGACATTGCTTCAGAAAATGAGAAGGGAAGTTCAGACGAAGAGAGAAAGAAATTTGAGAAAGAACGGAAATTTTTTGAAAAGTCAAAGAAGGAATTAGAAAGTAAGTTTTTGGATACTTCAAATAAATTGTCTGATCTAAAGACAGATCTTGAAACTGAATTGAACATGAGAACTGAACTGAAAAAGAAATATGATTTAGTTACTGTTGAAAGAGACCAGCTTTTACAAAAGGTCAAAGACTTTTCGTGTGCTAAAAGCCCAACTGATTCTC